AAGTGAACTGTTCCTACCGGTGTACTTAAGATTGTAGTGTGTGATACATTATTTAACGGGCTGTTTTTCACCGCTTGAAGAAAAACTTAACAATATTCTTCAGTTTTTTTTCCGTATCTTCTGCAATTCCTTTTTCATTCATGTTTTTTTTTTTTAATTACATCCTTCCAATGCTTTACTGGCCTTTCCTGTCTTCTCTTTCTGACTACTGGCAGCTCTAATGCTCTTGGGCTACCATATTAGTGGAGACAAATATATAATATTGAATACGTTATTGTTTCTTGGGCTGTTTCACACCGCTTGGAGAAAAACTTAACCATGGACTTCAGTTTTTAGAGTGAAATGGTAAAGCCACAGTTTTATAGACAAAACTTTAAACAACGTTTCTCCATTAAACATTTACAGTTCTGCTACGAGACATACTAATTTATGGTCAATTTAATTTGTCTGACGAGAGTTAATTTTGCCGAAAACTGCAGTCCTAAGCTAGTTTGATACTTTTTTTTGTACAATTTGTGCAACTAAAACTACTCCAAAACTAAAGGTTCAAAAGTAGACAATTAAAGTATTCTTCAACCAAATAAGTCTCGGAACTGAAGACATAGTTAATTTAGTAGCACTATTTATTCTCTGAGTACAGCTAAATAATCAGTTTCATCGACAATATATCACTAAAGTCTCTTGATGGGACAGCTGTACGTCTACGGACATATAACACCAAATTCCGTGGTTCGATTCCTCTCGGTAAACACAGCAGATAGCCCAATGTTGCTTTGGTATCAAACATCTCGCTAAGATATATATAATGGAAAATGAGTAACCATCGTGTACTCTTCCCAGATTTATCAATGATTCAAATTTCTACTCGACTCCAAGGTAAACAATGAGAACTGTTAAGGAAGATAATTTATTTGGTGGTTCTGTTATGATGTGGGTACGAGTCAGAATGATTGGAAATAAAGTTTTCATGGTGGTTTCAAGAGGTTTAGCCTAGATGTGCGACGTTTCGTGAATGCGTTCGATCCAGACTTTGTCCTGATACTGAATAATGTCCTGTTTTATTATGCAAGGACTGTGATGGGTTACCTAAAAGACAAATCCATGGATGACATATATTAGCCAGAGAAAAGCCCTTAGTCTTTAGGTGCATCAATGCTTTAAACCTACCATAAAATATCAAGGATCTTGGTGTTGCATTAAATCAAAAATGGGATAAAGTCTTCTATAAACATGTCCGCAGCCTAATTAAAATAGTATCTCCACATACGCAGAGAAAAATTAATATCACGTGACTCATACTCGTTCATCCTTAATAAGTGTCATTTAACAAAAATAATTATTGTAGACAACTTGACTTAGGGAGACTAACTTTGACCAATATGTGCATCCCCATACTTTGTCTGGTTATTTAGATCACTTAAGTTATCATCAACGTTGTGGTCAACTGCGGAGCTGAAGCAACCATTTTGTTAGTTTTGCGGGATTCTGCTAGTATAGCTAATAAAAAGGGAAACAAAGGTCTCGTAGATTAATATACTCTAATCCTGCCTGGAAGAATTTCAAGTGCCGCAGCTATTGAGGATTCCCTCTTGTTATCATAAGATAATAATTACTAACTAATTGGTAACATACGTTTTGGGTGCTAATATGTTGCTGCCTTTAGGGATGTCCTGATAAGAGCTATGTTTCTGGTGATGATGACCGGTATTCGATTCTGTGTCTTCTTGGTGAAAGGCTGGAGTACTTACTGTTTACAAAATGTAGGAAATATACTAATAAGTTTATTCTAATAAAAAAGGTTCCCTAGTGGGAATGCTGTAAGTCTATGGACTTACAACGCTAAATTCCGGGATTCGATTGCCCGCAGTGGACACAGCAGAGAGCCAATGTGGTTTTGTTTTAAAACAAACAAGTTCGAATAAAATAAAAACAGAAACTAATTAATAATTAGTCTTAGGAAAATACCAATCATGACAATGATTCGATCTTTACTGATAACTATTCAAGTTGTTGGCCTCAAATCCGTACTAAGTCCATAGGCAGTGGAATGGTAATGACCTTACGCGGCATGGCTGACCTTCCACCGTTATCCAGGCCCCTGTATTGGAATTCCCAAATCACTGATTACGGATGTACATTCT